AATTATTATTTTAAAACTAATGTGACTTCTCTCTCCCTGATAATATCCAAATATAGTTATATGCCAATTGATTATGTATCTCTGGTTGTTGTTGAGTGCTATTCAGTCTGTTTAGATCCATAATTACCTTATGTGACAAAGAGGAACTGCCAAGAGGGCATTGTTGACTATAATCTTTTTAAGAGCAGAACACTGGAAACTTTGCCTGGTTTTAAACTGTCAAGCCCAGAGTTAGCAGCTGAGCATTTAGACATCTTGCCACGAGGGTTGCTTTAATTCTCAGTTCAATTATAAAATTGTTATTTCCTTGTTGGTTAAGGAGGGGTTTTGTTTTTTTTTTTTTATTTTTTTTTTTTTTTTATTTTTTTTTTTTTTTTTTTTTTGCCTTATTAAATTGTTTTTATTTTTTTCTTCCCCCCCAATTTCCTTAAATAAGTATGACATAGTTGTATTAGGCTGGATTGTCTAGAGAAACAAAATCAGACATTCATATAGGCGTAAGAAAGAACTTTATATCAAGAAGTAATTTCATATAAGGAAGGTAACATCCAGCCTAGTCCAACTAAAATCCATGAGTTCAAGGCTAGCTGGAGGCCTCTTCAGACTTTTGTAGGTGCAGGCCAATGATGCAGAAAAGTGATTCAGGAAAGAGAGATCACAGACCAGTGGAAACAGTCACATGAATCCAAAGTCATGGTCAGTGGCCTATATGGAGTTACAGTGAGGAGGTAGTTGAAGGCCAAGAAGACGGGAGATGTTTCCAGTCTTTCTCTTACAGAAAAGGCTACACCCACAAGGAGGCATCACCAGGATACAACTTGATTGACAGGTTAGCTTGCACTTCTATACTTTCACACAAGAGAGTTGGCACAAAATCTAACTGCTAAATACTCTTGATATTTTGTGGTAACTTCTGTTGGCTGTTGTTTGTGAGGCATAGTGATCAAGCTGTGGATAGCATGCAGGGTTCTGGGTTGTGGGTGGGGGTGGCTTTTTGGGTTAGAGGAGAAACTGGAAATTTTACTGTGTGGAGGTGAAGAAGAAATGATAAAGTTAGTTGGATACCATGAATAGGAGATAGGGTCTCGAAGATAGGGGTTTAAGTGATGGTATTAATAATAAGTAGTCTTCTGGCTAAATATAGTGATTTTTGATAAATTGAATAGGGGTATTTTTAAAATGTCTGCAAGTACTTGTTAATTTATATGAAAGTGTGTCTCACTAAGACAGGGGGAGTGGCTCTTGAGGTAGTGGTGGGTGAAGTAGGTGGATAGTATATCTATTACTTTACTAAAATCACATATCAATCCACTATATAACACAGGGAGAGTGCAGCAAATTGATGTTATCATGTTTATTTATTTATGTAAATCATTTTATTGGGGGCTTGTACAACTCATCGCAATCCATATATACATCCATTGTGCCAAGCACATTTATACATTTGTTGCCCTCATTATTCTCAAAACATTTGC